CCCAAATAGGAAAGTAACTCAATGGGCAGTATCTGGCACGTGCGCAATTATGTAAACTCGGGCATATTGTGCAGCCCGCAGGGCTGCCTCCAGTTTAAATGTAATATCTGTCATCTATCTTTTTCCCGAAGGTATGTCAGACATTCCTTTTTTTTTTTTTCTTACACTCCCTCGTCCTCTTTTATCCAAATATAATTAATTGTTCCTAGAGATGTTCTTCAAAGACATGTGGCGGTTCATGGTGAAACCTCCGCCGATGGGCAGTCTTTGAATCAGCCGATGACTGGTGTAAGACATCGTACACAAGAAGCGTGTCGCAATTATGCAAGAACTAAGACAAAATGTGATTCTAACTTACCCTGCAATCGTTGTCGCGTTAAACAAATTCCATGCGACAGACGGCCGAGAAAGATGCCGGTGCGTGCATCTTTGTCAGGGGCTAGCCAGGATTCAATAACGTCAGTATCAGAAGTTAATGTTACTCGCGATGTTCGATCTTCTACTAGGTTAAACATAGATGCGGAACACGCTAGACCTAATCAGAATATTCAAAGCTCTTCGGAAAATAGCGAAGGTCTTGATAATCCAACACATAGCTCTGCTCCATCGCCGACAAAGCAGCTACATATCCATGATGCGATCATTGAATCTGTCGCCACTGGTGGGTTCGGCACCTTCATGGACAATGTGTCTGAGCAAAACACGAATAATGATGCTGTCCCACCCGGCACCGGATCATTGGTAATTGGGTCGCATATAGAAAGCTGGGCCGGTCGTCATTTCGTTGTAACCCATTCGAGGATATGTCGAAATGCCCTAGGACGGCCGGAGTGCTCCTCGAGAAGCCTCGGTCACATGCCAGAGTTGGATAAGTTATGGGGCTGGCTTGGGCTCGACTTCGCAAGCCCCAATCCGTTCGAACCCCTCGCAAGCTTACCGCTCCGCGAGAGTGTGCGGGATAAGCTTGCTGCTATCTCTCAGGCTCTCCTCCAAAAGGCCCTCAGAGTCCATCAGCTTGACCCTGCCACGGCTGCTGCTAGTTACCCTTCCCCGTCTCCCGATGGCAACTCCCGCGGGTTCCTTATTCTCCCGCCCTCCGCGACTATGGAACATTTTCTTCGCGAATATATGCGCATCTTTGAGCCATTTTATCTTCTCGTTCCTGGAGGCGTTTTGGATGCAAATATGCTGCTGAATGGATCTAATGATACGTCATCTACTCTTCTTATTCTGCTTATGATAGGACAGGGAGCTATATCAGATCCTACAAATGAGGCACGACGTCTGTCGGGTGGCTTAACGGAAGTCTGTCGAAAAGGATGTTTCTGTCTGCCACCAACCGTTATTGCTGCATTGTGCCCTGGTATTTATTATTCAAGCTGCATGGAGTGGCGATAAATGGCTGATGGATATCGGCCTTGGACAGCGTGGTATCTATATTGCAGTATGTTAACCCCTACCCCTGACTATACCATTTTTCTGGACTATACCCACTCCTAGAATTTAACACCTAACCATCAGTAGATCGTCCGAAACAGTAGATTATTCGATGCTCAAGTTAGCCATACGGAGTCCCTAGAACTTGACGATGATTCAAGGCACGTAGCCTGGCTTGAGCGAGAGAGACTAATTAGGTAGGGCCACTTTTCGCTTCCTCTCGAACTCTTCCTTTTCCCATGATTAAAAGGAGCTGCTAACATTGTGAATTTCTACTATCTAGGCTTACATATACATGGGTCATTCTTGACCTAGAACTCAGCCTGTTCCTCGATAGCACCGCGCATATACAGATAGCGGACCTTAACTTAGTCCTCCCTAGTCCTGCAGAACTCTATCTAGCTTGTGATACTGACTCATGGAAGTGTGGAATAAACGATACACCGCTAATACAGCCATCTCTCCGTGTGCTATTTCAGTGGTTCCTTACCGATCAAGTTACAGGAGATAGACGTCTTTGTCTAACACCCTCGGCGTTTAGACTATTGCTCCATCCCCTTTATTCGCTTGTTAACAGTTTCCGCCAAGTCCTCAGTTGCTTTAGCGAGGGGCCGAACTCGCGCTTATTCTCTCCGGTTACGAAAAGATCTACCGATGTTCGCATGGAGGAAATGCAGGTTCTTCTGCACCGCTGGTTTAGCTTGTATTGTTCCCGTCTCCGTGAAATCGAGCAGTCAGATGTGTCTTTCAACCAATTTCGGAGCCCATTAATGATAGCAACTCTTATCACTTATCGTATTATCTATCTTAACACAGTAACGGGCTTTACCGACATCGAAAGCTTAGCTAGGAGGCGACTGAGCGACTCGAGACTTCAGCAGCTATCTTCCACTCTTGTTGAACAGTATATCCATTGTCCTGATGAGGCTCTCTTACATATCGGTCAAATCCTCTATCTTCTTCGCTCACTTGATAAGAAAGCCCGGCCACCGTGGTGGCCTGCTGCTCTTTACCGTGTCACGCTTACTCTATGGGCGATAAGTGTATTCTGCGGAGCGCGGTGGAAACTTCTATCATCGACTCTTGTCCTAATAGATGTCGAATCACGGGGCGACAACGATGCGGTATATCGTCATTTCCACTCCAGCGTAGGAGCAAGTATCGCCGTATCTAATGCAGCAACAACTTCGGATTCATCTCCTAATCACCAGGTTTGCATTCCAGCAGTCACGGACCAAAGGGGTGGTGCCGAGCCGGTAGCATTGGATGATCCCATCCGAACACTGGAGACTTGTCTGTTAGCTTTCGGGGATGGCATTGCTACGAGATTCTCGGAGGGAGTCCACACTAAGTTAAAACAGTTTTTGGTTAGTCGATACAGCCTGAGAAACGGATGACTGCTTGGGCTACTTTGTATGCTCTGCCTGAGATCTATTCTACTCAAGCTGGTCTTAGAGGCGAGTAAACAACATCGTCTCATGTATAAAACGTTATTTTACATGTTGCCTCGCATCCTGTTGACCTGGCCTAAAGGTTCCTCAAGCAGCAACTTCATCAGTCGCTTTAGCGTCTTTATTTGGCCGTCTCTACAGGCCAGAACTTCCGCATGTCCGTCCTCCATTGCGCACAAAGTGGTCGATGGACATTTTCGAGTTCCTTAGGATCCCCCCGAGCCAGTGCCCTAAAATACCAATCCTCCCTCGCCATGTCGTCTGGCTTGGCGCCGTGGAGACGTGTCTTATTGGCACTACTGAAAGGATGAATGACATTCTGGAAGACCCATCTCCGCTCTGTAGAGTAGCGGTTAAACAAGTTTTCCAGATTTGGATTAGACGACGATGTCGAAAGAGCAATCTGGAGGGTCTGAGCTAATGCGTCCCCATCTAGAAGACCGGTACATAGACCCAACCCGCCAATGGGGTTATTGATGTGTGCTGAGTCGCCCGCGAGAAAGCACCGCCCACGATGCATAGTGCTGGCAAGTAGCTGATGCATCTTATAGAGGCTCTTGCGCACTACCACGTGGTTGCTCGGCCTGGGTCCATCAATCTGGCGTAGGAGGAGTGAATCAACATAATCCGGCTCAAGAACCTGCTCGTCTGTCAAACGAGCACTGTTTGGATCATCGTTGGGTTTTGCTGGTACTGCTAAGCTATATCTCCAAAGACCTTTCTTTCCGGCCTCGACGTGTTCCAGTGGCGTCGCTACACCCCAGAATGTCTCGTCAACTGTAAAATGGACGGAAAACTCTGGGACGACTGGTGCGATACGCAGCACGTCCGTCGCTAGGAAGCGCTCGGGCCAGGAATGACCCGAGAGGCGAATTCCAAGAAGTTTACGGACTGTAGATCTACCACCGTCGCAGGCGGCGAGATATTGACCTTTAAGAACCTTGTTTCCCTCTCGCACCGTCTTTACCGTGACTGATACTTGGTTCTCGTCTTGTGACAAGTCCGTGACTTCGTGTTCCCAGAGGACTTTAGCAAACCCGGTCTTTTCCGCATTCTCCAAGAAGATCTCTGCGAGCCGACACTGAGCAAGCTGGATTGAATAACGACCTGGCTTGAACTTTCCGTCGGGACCGGCCTTGCTCATCGCGTTTTTCCCTACAATCGCGCCTAGTTCCTTGCCTACCACTGTGCCGTTCTTATCAACAACATCAGTCGGGAGCTTGCGCCACACATAGCCTCCTGAGGGCATCCCCTCTGTTGAAATTTGGTCGTAGAGTCCGATTTCCTGGAAGACATCATGTACCGGCCCGTAATACCCTATAGCACGTGGCAGTTGGCTAAGCGAGGATTCTTTTTCCAAAACGATGGTGCGGATCTGATTCATGGCCAGTCGAAGAGCAAGGAGGAGGCCGACCGGGCCAGCGCCTACTATGATAACCGGGACTGTGTCGGTTCCATTGGAGTTGTTATGTGTTGATGTGTTCGTACTCGTCCCGTTTGCCGTGGGCGTCTCATGTAATCTATCTGAAGAAGCGTGTGGTGCCATTGCTACTCTATTAATATATTATGTAATGAAATGGGAACAATCTGCCAGGCTATGCCAGTTAAGTGTCTGGGTTCATGAGCCAAAGACCAGGATATATGTTCAAAAGCTATTCAATGTATAAATGCCTGCATCTAGTGTTGTTGTGAGGCGGATAACTAGGATCTCCGAATACAAAATTCAAATGTATGGTGCGAGAATCGTGTGATTCGCCTTTACAACCGAATCCTCTCCCCAGCCGGGATTTAACAGATTTCCCGAGGAGGGTCCCGGAGGAGAACCGAGAGATCAACTCGGACCATGCCGTATCCGGAGACATGTGACCGCCCAGGTGAAGGCCTCTCCACACTTATGAAGCATCGTTGGACTAAACGCTGAGATGGGTTCTACTAGCACTGCTATGCTTTCATAAGGAAACTTGTGTGTAGGAGCTGCGTGGTCATTCATCTTCATACATTAAAATTACGACACATATTTACGACTAAGGAGGACGCTAATGAATACTCGTAGTATTAGAAGGTTTGCGTCGTTTACGCCTAGCAATATGTCTAATTTACACCACCGAATGCCTACCACCTTTGGGCCATTCCCAGGACCGCGCCAATCGTTCAACGGACGTGCTCGTGACGGCTCTGGAATAAGCAACGTAGAAGCCTTCATCGCATTCAAGGCCAAGCAATCCGATCTTGTCAGTCTCCTACCCCTTACTTTCTCTTTCCAGAAACCAGGTCCGGAAGCCTATGTCAGCATCACAGCCAAACACCTAGATAATCTAGAATGGCTTGCCGGCCGTGGATACAACCTCCTAAGCGTTTACATCCACGGCGTGCGGAAGAAGACGGCTGAGCATATCGGGGCACTTATCTTCCCGTGCTCTGGGAGAATATGGCAGACCCGATTATTAGTGGGCGGGAGGAGTTGGGTTTCCCGAAACTATACGCGGATCTTAACATCTCGCAAACAGAAAGCATATATTCGATGATGGCGAGCTGGGAAGGATCGAAATTTGCCGAATTTAGCCTTAGAGGCCTCCGCACGGAAGAAGATCGGGACGGGATGGGGTCCCGGCGGCTGGCACCCCCTGAAGCTGGGGTCGATGAGGGGATCCTTCTATGGCGCTACATGCCTTCGACGGGGCGTCCTGGGCAAGCAGATGTGGAGTACCCTGTCTTTGTCTCACATGCAGAGGAAGCAAAGAAGCAACAAGCTAGGGTGATCAAGAGGTTAACTGCGGGGGAAGGGGAATTCAAGTGGTATCCTTTGGACTGGCAGGCTTTGCCGACGTTACACCACATCGTCGCGCGGCTGGAACGGATCCAGACATTGAATTTGGTGGCTTGCGGTCTCGTGGAGAAGGCCGGCGGAGGTGATCTCTCTTCGGCAAGGAGAGTTGGAAGCGAGCAGCCGAGTTTATAAGCCAGACGAACACACGTTAGAGATAGGTTTTTCCAATCTTCGCCGAATTCCGAGCCTCAAATGAGTTTGTAAATTGATATGAAAGGTGAATGTTAATTCGTGAGCCAGCACCGGCAAACATGAGGATCCCGGCTCTCCATCGGAAGTATAGACGGCCGCGCACCTTGATCCCAAGCCACTCGACGCTGTGTCCTGCACAAGACTGTTTGTATTAGAAATCCGACGTCACGATTCATAAGGCGACTGGTGGTTTGTGTATTCTCAAAATAGACTTCGAACCAGGGTACCTAGCATTTATATCTCGTCGCGCTGACTTCTCAGAGTTAAACCCTGCCAGTGCCAATCCTATGAACTCAGGGTGAAGACCAATTTTAATTCCTACCCATATGAAGATAGTTCCAAGTAAACCACATTCAACATGGTGACGCAAACCACTACCCAAACACAGAATGGCAGCATTCAGCTCTCTCCAGATAAGTCAAAGCGTATCTCTCCCGAAGCCCTGTGCCATGTCGTCCTGCGCACGACGCCAGACAACTTCGAAGACATGGTAGAGTTCTACCTCACGATCCTCGGAGGACGGGTCTCGCACCGATCCCACCGCCTGTGCTTCATGACATACGACTACGAGCACCACCGCATCGCCATCGTCAAGGACCCGACGGCGACCCCGCGCGAGGCGGGCGCCCCGCAAGTCGGTCTGCACCACATGGCGTTCGGGTTCAAGACGCTGCAGGACCTAGTCACGTCGTACGAGGAGAAGAAGGCGGCTGGGATCCTCCCGGTCTGGTCTGTCAACCACGGCATTAGCACCAGTATGTACTACGAGGACTTGGACGGCAACCAGCTCGAGTTCCAGGTGGATAATTATGATACGGTGCCCGAGGCCGTGGAGTTCATGGCTTCTCCTGAGTTCGTGGAGAACCCCGTTGGAGTCGATTTTGACCCGGAGGTCTTCGTTAAGAGAGTCAGGAGCGGGGAGGATGATAAGAGTATTAAGGCTAGGCCGAATGTTGGTCCGAGGGATAGGAAGTAGGGTAGGTTTTAATGGCGTTGGGATTGGTGCGTTGATCACTGCAATTATAATCAGGATCAACTGTGCTCCATCGGTAATTCAAATATAGGTGCTTTTCGGATATCAAGGAGCTAATTTCAGTTATATACAATGACTAGGGGGGATGCCTGTACAATAGGTAGGGGTCCATCAATTGTCTTTCTTCGGAATCATTTTATATGATAGAGCGTCTCTCCAATGACCGAAAAAAATATATGACATGGTATTAAACAATTGACCGTATGAATAAATGGTCTACTCCATAGTACCTTAGGTTAGGTATCCAATCCTTTGTGTCCTGGTATGAACCTCCCAGCACTCCGTATTTTTATAAATAGCAATACCCATAGCGGCGAAGCTGTATAGAGGATATGAAGGGTGATTGCCGGAGCCCGATATGCTCCTAAATCAAGATGCGTACAAAGAAGTTAGAGATGTCGAATGCCTGTCATAGCCGCTGCAGAGTGGAGATAGGGGCCCCCTTTTCCCCTTCCAAATGAATCCAAATACTAAGAACACTCCCAGCACTGGGAACTTGATCTAATATCAACCCCCTCTCCCCCCCCCTTTTTTTTCTAATCTCTATCTTCTTGATTTAATCTAAAATGTATTTTAGTCGATTTCTTAGTAGCGACGAGCGAGATAGAAATACCATTGTGAAATGCCTTCGCCTAGCACAAGTAGGTACCCAACGTATATAGCTCCTAGGAGCATAATAACAGCGACAGGATGTTCAATAATCTAGCTTTATGTTTTCTCCACCCGAACCGAGGACTTTTATTAGGATAGTATTGTCGTTCGTCGACCGTGGGATAGAATCTGACGCTCTTCTTAGCGCGGGGGCCCGAGTGCTCGGAGCGAAGAGCACTTCGTCTCGGGACTTTCTGCCTTCTGGCCCATGGCGGCGGGACAACGAGCTGGCCTGGGTAATCTAGGTATGTGAACGTAGCCATTTCGAGTATAGCTAAGAGAAATTTGCTCGGGGCTTTTCGTACGGTCGTGTGATATGCGGTGTGGTGTGCAGTTGGGCGGTTACGTGGTTGTGTGGTGATCGATCCTGAAGATTAGAAGTCGCATTTCTAGAGATGAAATTTCGTACTTGGAAGACATAAGGACCATCAGGTATAGTCATCGGGAAAACGCTGCTGGTACATTGACTAAAAGTTCGAACTTTCAAGTAATAGAACACGCCCAAAGCCAAAACTTAGAACTGTTAAGACACGGCTGAAATAGAGTGATTCGCCCCATACTCTTTATTAGAAAGACGATGCCCAAACTTCTTATAGTTCATAGCGCACAGTTATACATTAGTTTATTCTGTCCGTGCTATTGGTGATTATAGTTCTTTTGCGTTTAGTACCTAGGCTTATTCTACATCTTACAGCGGTTCCCAGATATCCCATGTACTATTCATGTCGTCAAGGTTGAATGAGTGAGCGCCGAGCTGGATTCGAAATTGTAAGCATTGGGAGAGGGCTTCTAGTGTTTCTATACGCACTTCTGGAAAACTGTCATCTAACCATCCTGACACTAGAAAATCCAGTGCCTCGGGAGCAGTTAATTGGTAAGTGTCAACCTGATAGTAGTCAGCATATAGATATGGGCTAGGATTATAGTTACGGTTATTTAATAAGGTCGATATGTTAGTTACTTACGTCAATATGGTTCGAAGGGTCCGGGGGAGTTAGATACTGCTGATTGGGAACGGACATAAATTCCGTTTGGAAGACGGTCATCTTATCCTCTGTCTTTCCATTTGCCTATAATGTAGGTCCAAGAACCTTCGTGCGCATGCAGCCTTAGCTGTTTGATGGGATTCCTTTTCCAGATGTATTTTTAATAGCATAAGTGCTGCGTGCATTGTGATAAAGCACCAAAGTTCGCTATAACAGCAACGCAGATGTCTGTCCTCCATTAAGGGAACACATTGCTCAAGGAGGTCAACTATAGCTTGAGAATCTGTCACGACGATGCTATTTGATACTGTATACAATATTAGCTTTCCCAACACTAAACAGTGAGTAATAGTTCGCTAGCTACTGGACTAATCTTTTCCTTGGGGAGAAAGTTAAACTTACGCTTAGGCTGGAGCATAGTAATGCGAACAAGACTCAACGAAGCGAGCAGTAAGTCATCCCTGACTGTTGTGAGGCTCTGATAGCCAAACTCCGCTAAGCGGCTATTCAGGAGAAGGATATCTCGCGATGTGTGATAACATACAGTTTCCGAGAGCCAGTATCTACCGTCATTTTTGTGTAGATAAGGTCGGTGAAGGGCAAGAACACATTCTTTCAGCTGAAAAAGGCAGAAGGCATTCGCAACAATTGACAACTTAGAATCGTCCTGTGGTGTCGCATCATTATTCCAGGAAGGAATAGCCTCTATTGCTTGTGTGATTTCATGAGTGTATCGTAGTACTTCTTCATAGCTAAAGTCTTTAGATAACCGTCTATTGAATAAACGTTGAGATATCTCAAGACGCAAAGCCCAGCTGCGAGCGCTATGAACTTGATAGGACGTAAAAGTATAAACATCAAGTCGCTTTGACGTGGGTATTTCCTTCGATGCCTCGCCGAAATCATCATCGTCGAGATTCGTAGGAGGAGGGGTATCGGAATTAATGTTATGAAGGAGGGTAGGGAGACCGTACTCGAACGCATTCTGCAGATCTAATTCTCTAAGGACAGTCCATATTCGTCTTTTCATCTCTTGGGTGTAAGGTGTGCCGATATTAAAAGATAGATCGCAATGTAACCCATCTATAATTGCATCCTGGATCAAAGAGCTGGTCTCCTTCCACCACCTTTTTTGCCGATCATGGCTACCCGCTTAGCGAGATAGACTAAACAAGATATCTGGTAGTGAACAATTTTGCGATGTTTTGGGCCCTGCTGCTTCAACCACTCCTCGCATGAATAAATCCATCGCGCACACATAGCACGGTATTTTGCTGGTATAGATGTAGCCTCGGCCGAGCGAGTAGCAGCATAGGTCGATATAGATATCATCGCCAAGATGAGAACCGTCATGGTAGGATACCGAGGCCGCTGGGGTAGCCAAAAATTGGCATATTCTCTCTTGAATGTAGGTATATGAATTATTCGATGAATTTGCTCCAAGCCATCAAGGTAGAAAGAAACTAGAGCATCGGTGTCCTCCTTGGGAGGGAGGAGACACTCCAGAATTACCCCTTTTCGGGGCGAATAATCCACACTGTAGCCATTTTTGATGGATTTCTCCCTTGTAAGGCTAACACCAAGTGGTTTGAACCATTCATTAGCCGTCTCTCTGATAAAGGGGAAGAGTTCACGGATCTATATAAAATGTAAGTACGGCCAATATAAAGAGATATGCATGAAGGGAGCGTACCTCGCCGAAGAACCGAAACAAATTATGTTGGCTATAATAGCCTTGTGGGCATCTCTCTTTCGGATCACGAAGCTCGGTATTGTTGACGCGGGTTGTATTATGGTCAGACTTACTCCCCGAAAAGGATGTCGAGTCTGGTTGAGCATTGTCTCCGTCGCAAGCTTTACTAGTCAAGCTTTCAAGTTCTCCGGATTTTTCATTCAATGGCACTGAGCCATCGGATTTAGCATGGTCGCCTACCACACAGAAAGTTTCCGCCACACAATCGGTCTCATCCGTGGGGGATGCCTTCGAGAGTAATACTTTCAATTCAGCAACTTGAGCCTGAAGGTCTTGGATCTGCTTTTCTTGCGGTAGGGCTGTAAAGTTAAACGAAGAGGGCTGTTCTGTTTCGTACGAACATTGTGTTGATCTTCCCGTCCTTACACATCTCCGACAGGGTAGGTTCCGGTCACAGGACAGCTACATCCGAACACTTAGCAAGGACATTTGGGTTTGGGTTTAGGTTCATGATAAGTAGTAGCATACTTTTTTCTTCCGACATTCCATGCAACTCAGTCGCACGCGTTTCTTTCGGCTTTTTCTTTCACCAGCGAGGTTTTTCTGCCTTGTAGATCTCGACTGTTCGGTCGTATCGGCTGTCTTAACGCCGGCATTAGGCAGCATTTTCGCCGAGATATTGAAATGACTTCAAATATGTAGGCCATAAGATTAGATACGATCCTATTGTCTGGGGAGATTTATCTGGGAGAACCGGAGTTAAAGAAGAATCGCCGGCAGTAGGAATAACTTGTATATTTACGGATTTCCGATCATCTCCGACTTGGAGCCATTCTCCACTTAAAATATTCATTGAGACTTAAGATCGCTCTATTTCTACCTATTCATAACACTTCATAAAATTCTAGCAATATAGTGGACTTTAGAGGAATTTACTACAATCGGTTTTTTAAACGAAAACATGTCTGCTGGGCAGCGGAAGACTTGAATAGCTTATTAGTTGGTTCAAAGGTTTAGGTGTGGATCATTCTCAAGATTCAACTAACTATTCTAATAAAATGCCGTGGTTCATATTAAAACTCTAAGAGGTACCCATGAGATCAGGTGCCTATTTGCTACTTAGTAGGCAAAGTTAGATATATCCATCCTATGACTTAGGTGCTATATTATACACAGCCTGCTTATACATAATCCTGAGCTTCTCTTCTTCAGCCTCGAGCCGACATTTCATAGATGGGCTAGGCTCATGCACCTCATTGTACATTATCCTAAGCCTCTCCCTTTCTGCCTGTAGTCGACATTTTATAAACGTGGTAGGTTTATGCTCCATAATCCTTATGTTCATCTGCTTAAGCTTCTCGCAACGGTCTGCGAGGATAGCCTTATCAAAAAAGCAATCGCAATTTGGACATGAATCCGTCGCTTTGGCATCAAAACGTTCAAGACATACGAGACAGGTCGGGTTAATAGCGCATTTTGGGCAAGGATGAAGGCTAGGAGAGCGACGTCCGGTACGCTGGAAGACGTAGTCAAGGATCCAGCTAAATCTGTGCCCACACGCATAGGAGGCTGTGCCTGTGAGTAGCTCAGCTTGGCCGCAAGTTGCCTGGATTGCCGAACGGCGATTTAGTGCTTGGTTCTCTTGGACGTCCATATTGAATCAATCGTATTATGCTCGAGGTATATTGTATGTAGCAAGAAGCTAGGACTAATATGATGATATCCCGGTGAAGATATAGGAAGTGGACCAAGTTATTTGAGACACCTGGTCTAAAGTATTGTTGGTTAATACAATGACATTATCTCTTTATATTTAACTAGAAAGAAGCTATTCTGATAAAAAAGATAGAAGAGATAAAGGGGACAGGGGTTATTGTACGTAAAGCCTTATTCACGGTCCCAATTTTGTTCATTGCGAGTAATAGAGGTAACATTATTATTGTCTTTTGTCCAAGTGCCTAATAAACCTAGATAGATTTTTTGAAAGATGAAAGTGCTGATTTTGCTACATTCTCTGCTATGAATCCTACCTGTTGCTAATGCTCCTATACGTTAGACTTTCCATGTAAATGTGGTGATATGGAAACGGGGAACACGGCAAAAACATTTGAAGATGGTGAAGAGATATTTAATGTGAAAGGTTATGGTTTTTCATTTCGAGTTACAACCCATTTTATGGGAATAGAGGCGCACATTCGCATGTTATAGTCTTACCACCGATTATATATATGCTAAAAAGGTATATGGTCGGCAGTTGTCTTACCCCCACGCATAGTCAGTCTTGGGACTTGGTCAGATGGCAAACTTTACCTTTAATCCTTTACTAATAATTAGGTACCTACCTCTCTATTACCCAGCGCGATTTATCAAATCAAACCATGTATCCTCATACCCTTATAAGATTCCTTCGAATAATTCAGGACGAGCCCGGCCGCCTACCTAATTCGCCGTCGAGCCGCCTTATTCCCGTATAGTAAGCATCTTTACGGCTCGGTGGGCGCGACGCTGGCTCGCCATGGCTGCATCTTATGCTGCGTCGCAGCGCGCCGACGTGCTTATCGAGGTGGGGGCCGAGAACTGCTGAGGCTGTGCGGATAGAGAGGGAACGGCCGTTGACGGCTGGGGAGAAGACAGGTGCTGAGCTTAGTTTACAGAGGCTTTGGAGGATGAATGTACCCGGCCTCGAAAACCAGCTAGTAGAAATCGAAAGGATGCTAGTTCGAACCCCTTTTAGGTGCTCTTGACGACTCAGTGCATTTACCCCTTAAACCGCTCTCTCCCCAATTCGGTGCACGATGATCAATTCGATCGATGTTGAGGCGGGCCTTATATGCCTGGGACGACGCTACCTGGTTGTACTCGGCCCCTTTCCTCGAAGGAGCCGACTAGTGTGAATGGAATAAATCTATGAGACTATCGCTTAGCAGCTTTAAGCCGTATATAAAATATAATACCGTGTTTATAGTGCTCGAGATCCCATATTAACTGAAATATCCCATCTACCCAATCCCCCTCTCTATATTTCTGTCCAATCCAATGTCTAAAACACGATTGCTCGCCAGTCCCACTTATACGCTAATACATGTATCTGAACTCGGGATTCAGATCTCCCAACTCGCTCTTCTCGTAGTCAGATAACCCAACGTCTCTGACAGCCTTCTTTCTCCTCTGGTTTTCGCGGTAGATCGATATGAGATATAAGACTGACGCCAAGCCGCTCAAACATGTGAAACCGAGACAGATCGAATAACCGTTCTTGAAATAGGGGGCGTCGGTATTGAGAAAAGCGAACGTAGCTATGATTCCGCCGATGTTACCAAAGCCAATCTGCCACCCTGTACCTATAGCTCTACGATGATGACCACCGAGATTCATGCTAAACCAGCAGACAGTAATGGGCAACACGCTGTAAGTGCTCATCGTAATGAAACATAACATTGCGTACTGAACAGGTGTGTTGTCGTGGACCCTGAGTAAAACGCCAAAAGCTGCGAGACCAAGAGTAAGTGGCGCAAGTGCGAAAGCTGCACGATGATGCATCCAATCGGATAGCACAGCTGTGAGAAGAGAGAAGCCAAAAGATGCAGCCCAAGGGACTACACTGTGGAGCTGCGTCTGGATAGGATCGTAATTATATGTCGAAATGATGGTAGGCGCAAAAAAGGCATAACCATACGCGGGGACGATCAGCCCAAAGTACATAACCCCACCAAGCCAGACACGATGATCCTTCATTACATTTACAACATCGCGAAACGTAGTCTTTCGATCAGCAGCATTATGGCCTTGGTCAGCTTGTAGTCGGGCTTTTATGTAAGTCCGCTCCTCTTCCGTCAACCACTTAGCTTCCTCGGGGCTGTCGCAAATTAGAACCACACAAGTCGTACTTAAGGCTAAAAGGATTACTTACAACGAGGGGAAAACAAAGTAAAAGATAACCGCAACTAGGCATGTAAGGATTCCTTCGAGTATGAAAATCCATCGCCAGCCATTATATCCACGGATACCCTGCACTAATCAATTATTAGTATATTCCGGGAATTGGTTTTTCTACTTTGCTAGAGGACACACTTACTCTTGCCTATAGCAGACGCCAAGAGACCCCCGAAAGCACCAGCTAGAGAAGTGGACGTAAAGAATAGAGAGTAACGCTTCTGCGATTCACTCCGCTTGTACCACATGCCTAACCAAGACAGAATGTTAGCAACATACACCCACGAGTTAACACAGTATACCATTCTATCCTAGATAAGTAGATACGTACTAATGAGGTAAAAGCATCCTTAAGTCTACGTTAGCATATTCTGAATTCATAGCTTAGGGACTTGCTAATTACCAGGAAACATTCCACTCTCGAACAACCCTAAGTAATGTAAGTAAGTATGACAGTCTTATCCCAACTTAAGTGGAAGACAATACCTAGGAAGAATCGTGTCGCAAGGAGACCAGAATAGTTCTGTACAAGCCCCTGACATACGGACGCAATGCCAAACCCCAACATACAGGTAGGAAGCCATATGCGAGGTGAGAACCTTTTTAGGAAGATATTGCTAGGGATCTCGGCAATTACATATGGTATAAAAAACATGGTTAAGGCTAAGTAGGTTCTCGGTGTCAGTACAAAGCAGCGCATTTAAATAGCATTTACTTACCAGTATTATACTCGTGGTTCTCGAGGTGTAGGTCTTCAACCAGGCGGAAAGATTTCGCATTGGCAATATTGACTCTGTCCAAGAAAGCCAGGAGATAAAGAATACAGAGGAAGGGTATCAAGTGCCAGTCGACACGTGTTATGAGCTTCCGCTCCGTTGTGTGAGGAGGACATTGGACATGAAGCCCATCATACTCGGCACCGGCAACACCGGGATGATAACTATTGTTTCCAATGATTTCATCTACCGGCTTGTCCAAATCGCTCGGAGCTGAATCTGCTTGAATACCCGAGTTAGCCATCATTATCAGTTGAGTCTGATGCTGTGCGCTTGAACTACTCCGACACCCGGCTCGAAGACGCGGTATAATACGCGACGGAAATTTGGAGTTGGGATGTAGAATTTGGAGAAAATCGCGACGTACGGGAAACTTTGCTAAAATGCATTTTCGATAACTAGAGGCAAATCAAAGCCAACCGAGACACTACGTGAAAGATTTCCGTTGAAGAAAAAAAGCAATTGACTCGCGCATTCAACAACAAACTGAGTAGCTCACGAGACGGCGTGCCAAGTCTGATTCTTAGGTAAATAATAAAATTTTGCGACGAGTCGCGCCGCTGACGGCGGCTGACTATTATGTAGAGTCGGACTCAGCGGTTGACGATCTCCAAACGCAGCAGACCCTCGCGCGAATTCGGCCTTGGCTCCCGAGGCTCAAGAGCCTCAAACCCTAATATAATAATGAGCAATACAAACGTATACCCCTATTTGGTGACTTAAATAAACAAATATTTAGTATGCTCAAAATATTCAATTTAGAGCCGATGTCGCTTTAATGGGATGAGTTTATACTAGACAAACTGGAGCCACTAGACGAGATCAGCTCAAAAAGGAAAAGACCCAACTGACGGGCCAAGTTTGTGCGGGGAAATAAATAGTTGCGGAGAAGAAAAGAGCTGGACCCTGGAACGAAAGCCAGCCGGCCAGTCAGCTCGTCTCTAATGTAATATCCTCCCGAATTGTTTGCCGCGGCAGCTGTGTAGCTGAATGTCTTGATGAACCCATTGATGAGCCCTCCAATATGTCCGGCATGAAGGCCGACATAGACCCAATCAGAGGCTTGCAGACATGGCTGAGTACTCTTTCTTGATATCAATTGGTCCATATCATACTGCTCTCTCTGCCCTAAAGACACGGGTTTCGGTATACGAGGAGCCATGCCGACTCCGAGCCGACTACATTTCTCGGAATTTGCGACGCTTTGTTCTCACGTGCCATCGACTATATTTTGCTAGCATCGTGCCGTTGCGGTCTCATTATATGAGTCTCGACATAGCAATATTTTAGATGCGAAATGGAATCTCCTCGATGTAACGACCGGCCCAATTGTATGCGTTATCACGCGCAAGTGTAGCTGAGCAAAAACAATAGCACCAGTAAGTGTTTTTTTCATCAGCATCAGATGGTTAAAGATAGCATAGTGCTTTACCTCCCACTTCCACCCAGCAAGAGAATTAAGATCAGAAATACGTCATGATAGCAGTATTAAGAAGGGGCCTTCCTAGCAATCTTTGACGTTAAATCGGGTAATGCGAGTCCACTTTGGAGCTACCGAGGCGTTTTTCTTCTTCTCGTGTTCGGGTTCTGATGTAAGAGGGCGCGAGAAAAGAGTCTGTTGGCGCCTTTGACGTCTTTAACTGAGTAAAATTCCGTGGGACTTGTTGAATGCTAATCATTGAATAGACTTACGCAATATATATATGATATATACCTCATACCTATTGTCCTACGTTTAGCTGGTAGCACGTTATCCAAGATCATAGCAGATCATGTACCAAGAAAATAATAGGTAACTACCAAATTGGCCTTAGGAGTTTCTACCTCTTATACATAAGTTTATCTGACCTATTGAATTTACAATGTGCCGAGTACCGAGCTGATAATTTGATTGCATGTCATAGACTTGCTATCGTCAGGGATGTCATAAATATCCGCTTATGTCGACAGCGTGATCCAAGAGAAGAGGAAGCTTGTTTGCAGATTGTGCCACTTGATCACGCAATACATTTGCAGAAAGGCGTCAAAAAAGCTGGCGCACCTTTACTACCTACCTAATGTACTAACAATTATCCTGGTAGGTGCGCCACCTTTTTTGACGTCCTTCTGATTTGGTAGCCATCCGAGAAGCTCCTGTGGACTTGCTCATCGAGGAGGCTAAAGAATTGATTGACGCATGCGATGAGAGATCTAACCCAGCGGGCTGGTTCGAATGATAGACGAGACGGATATATTAAACCGTTCGCCGTTATAGGGTCGTGATCGATGCTACCCCCACAGTGTGCGATATGCGTGCTCAGGATGATATGAATTCAAGATCATCATGCCATAAGGTCTAACCACATTGAACTTATGATATCACATATGTATATGATCTGAGCATATGTGAGGTACCAGCGGCCAAGAAAACTAGCCTGAAGAATTCGGTGACGCTACGGATCCGTACCTAGGGAATGTACCTTAGTAGCTGCGTACTACGTAGTCGCCATAGCTGATCGAACTTGCGTGATTGGCCCGCATTTCCGCTATAGGATTAGTCTCTCTTGGCTATCAGGGAAGGCAATGAGGCGCACTCCATAGAGAACGAGCCTCTTACTCTTAGTCTTCGCGGAGGCGTAGATGGACCAATAATAACCCCCACGAGGGAAGATTGCCCAGTACGCTTATTTCGGGAACGCATATTCGGTGTGTCACATTAGGTCGTAAAAAGCTTATGTAGCGCCTAAGGAGGAAAAGAAATTCAGGTGCGAATACTACTATGTACTAGCCAAGAAGGAACCAGGAACCACAGTGGGACTTCTGTTAAAGCTGTGCGACGAAAAGTACTACATTTATTCGACGTAGGAAGAAGCATTACAGCATACATAGGTAGGTACTATGTAAAAGGATTACCCTGCTCGGTCAACCTTCTAGGCCACTTTTAGTTAGTTTGGTCAGAAGGCCGTACCTACCTAACAGGAACAATCATTAGGCGTAGCGTCCTGTTGAATATAGGTAGCAAGGCAAGTCGCGACTGTAACATAACATTTGAACTTATAAACTTACCTTCTACACCCCGTCTTCTTGAATCCTTAAGGTAGCTTCTTTCTCTCGTCTCATCAACTTGTTTGTGCTTGAAGTGTATGTTTCCGCTTCCGTGCCTACATGTTGCTCTCGGCCGCGTCATAACGTCATACCTCTCCCCGTTACGTGTGCGACCGTTTTAAGATTTAACGACTACCTAGTTGAACTCACGCTCACGCTCACGTCTCATTCTACCCGGTACTCGCTTAGTTCTTCTAATTTATACAGTATCCGCCAATTCTTAAACTGGTCAATATGAAGGCAGAATACTCGGACGAGCCGTTGACCTACGACACCCACGAGACCGCCATACCCACTGGATGGTCAGCTTGGTTTGGTGGCCCTAATGTTAAGATAGGCCCTCGTATCGCTCCTCAGATAGCGCCAATCAGCACCGATGTTCACGGTTCTTCCAGTAATCTCAGTAGCGATGCAATTCTTAACAAGCAGCTTGAAGAAGAGGCCGGTCATGCTATCCAGTATCGTACTTGTAGCTGGCAAAAGGTTCGTCTTAGAACACAAGCTCAAAGTCAAAACCAAGAACGATACATTTTACTAACATTTAACACAGACGGCCGCATTGTTATTTTCTGAATATATCTGTCTCGTGAGTTTTTCAATTATTGTTTTCTCCCCCTCATTCAGCATTGAGAGATGAGAGAATTATGAGATATATGTCCAAGCTCTTCTTCTATGCTCTGTCTTTATTTTTAAACGATGGGCATTATTGAGACTAACAGGACACTAGGCAATTATGAGTTTTCCATGGTCCTACAGCGTCCTCGGGCTCGTCCCAGGGTAAGCTTTATTTAGTTTCGGCGCAGTTAGTCTAGTCGAAGCTTAATTTACTGATATACCATCTAGGCTTATTCTCACCGTAGTTCAAGCTCTTTTAGTATTATATACGTACGTTGTCCTGGACTTCCCAATAGGTATTAAGTGCCTTAGGCCTATGCTGATGATAACACCACAGTTCTATTGTCTTATGGGAATTCTGTCTTCGACATCCCGAAGTTAGAGATGTATGTGATATTGGTCAGATGCTCTTCTGGGGTCAGAAATGGGCCTGGTATTTCACGGCTTTCATGTTTATCTTAAACAACACCTTCATTCAGGTAAGCCGACATTCGCTTCCATCATTTGAATTCCAAAAATCTTACTCCTTTATAGGGTCTCCATGTCCTCGTTGGAGCCAAATACCTTAATACGATGGTTGGCCCGGACGCTGGTATCTCGTGCCAGACTGTATCTTTCGGCGCCATTGTTGCTGTTATTTGCTGGCTTTCGTCGCTGCCTCGCACCTTTAGTATGCTTTCGAAGCTTGGTACTGCATCGGCAGTGTTCACGTTCGTCTCGGTCATCCTTGCTACAATATTTGCCGGTATTCAGGACCACCCGGCGGGCTTTAACGCAGAGCCGGCTACCAGCCCTGCTACTGGCGCAGCATTGCCCTTCGGCAATCCAATTGTCACAGCTGTACCTATCCTGGGTACTACGTTCGTCTCCGGCTTGGGAGCTTTTCTTAACATTAGGTAGACCAGAGTATTCCCTCTAGTCGGTACGCAAAACTGACAGTGATGTAGCTATACTTTCATCGGGCAGATTACACTTCCCAGTTTCATTGCCGAGATGCGTGAGCCGAAAGATTTCCCTAAGGCCCTTTGGGCATGCACGATTCTCGAGATTATCGTCTTCAGTGTCGTTGGTGCAGTCACATATGCGTTTGTAGGCAACCAGTATATGACCTCGCCAGCTTTTGGATCCTTGATCCCGCTGTACAAGAAGGTCGCTTTCTCATTTATGATCCCTACGATCATATTCTTAGGCGTCTTGTATGCTTCGGTCTCAGCTCGATTCATCTTCTTTCGAATTTTCCAGAACACTCACCACAAGAATGAGCACACTCTCATTGGTTGGGGCACTTGGACTTTGATTCTATGTATGATCTCTGACCAACCCTGATGTCTGCCCTTGCGCTAACAATGTCTCTCAGTCGTCACTTGGGTTCTCGCTTTCGTGATCGCTAACTCGATCCCATTCTTCAACTCTCGTGAGTTTCCTATGATGTTTTTAAACCTAGGGGGTATAACTAATTAAAACAAAACACAGTCCTCGCCCTCATGTCCTCGTTGTTTGATTCATTCTTTGGTTTCATTTTCTGGGGTCTTGCTTATTTCCGCATGCGAAAAGCCGATGGTGCCGTCGCATTGCTCAAGGACCGTTCATTCCGCGGGTGGTTTGAGGGTATCCTCAACATTATTATTATCCTGACCGGTCTTTTCTTCTTATCGGCTGGAACATACGCTAGTGTCCAGGGCATTTTAGACGAGTTTGCTCTGGGTACAGTTGGAACTGCGTTCCAATGCGCGAGTAATGGCATTTGAAAAAGCATTTACGTGTTTGCATTTTTTTCAAGAATAGGCGATACCCACGGACGAATATACGTTTGAGCATAACAATAAAATAGGAATGTTGTCATAGGTTGGAGGATGATGGATATACAGAAGTTTGGTTGATGTTTAGACTGCTGCAGTCACTCAACTAAGACCTTGCAGTTGGAATAGAATTGGGATTGGCATTATTACAGAGCTACATACAGTAATGCAGGGGGGTACTCAGGTTCCAGCATATATTGGGAAGCTTTAAAGAGCATATAATATACAACTACAACCATGGCTACTCCCTGGTATTTTCTAGCCATAGTTCCAATTCTTAGGCTTACACATTTTATAATCGAGCTAATTTCGCTACAGGTATCTATCCTCACCTAGCGTTCTATTAGGCGCACGCTAATTTACCGGTGGAAAGACTACTATTTAGGTGAGTTTTAAGATTTTAAAGCCTCCATAACTTGATAAATAAGGCTAGGACCGTTAGGTATATAAATCCAACTACGGTGCAGTGATGTTTTCTCCATATTGAACGTATTAAACGGTAATATCTTCGGTTAATAACTTGTGGCTTTTTGAAGACTTTTCGTTCGGTGGAATAGGGGATTTATTTCCGTACGTTTACTTTTTGATCGAGTGATAAAATCCCAAATATTTTCTTTCATAAGATAGTATTTACTACCTACCATAACGGAAAAGAGAGGTTTGGGAAAATGATTTTATAAATATAAAACTATTTTATATATAAAAACTATTATATATGATAGTAATAACGGAATTAATTTAATGCATTTTAATATTGTAAAATAATTTTAAAATATAAAATAATTTTGTAAAATAAAACGATTTTAATATTTATGTAAAAGTTACGTGAAAAAATGGGGTAAAAGTTTAAAAAAGTTAAAAATTAAAAAAACTGGTTTTTAAACCTACAGCTTTTGCGTTTGTGTAACCATAAACCTTATAATTAATTATAAAGTTTAAAGTTTTAACGTTTAAATTAATAAAATAAAATAGTTAATTTTATCGAATTATTTCGGAATGGAAATTTTTTTAATTTTAAGCTTTATAATTTTTACTTCGGAAAAAGTAAAATTTTAACTTAAAAAAAAATAAAAAAAAATTTTCGAAATTTTTATAAAATTTTTTTTTTTTTTAAATTAAAATCGGGCAATCGTTTTTAAAATAAAAACAATTATATAAAATGAAATGGTTTTACGGTTATAAAATAGTTTTTATAAAATAAGATTTTAAAAGTGGGGATCAAGACCTACTATTCCCAAATTCTGACCAATCAGAGCCCTTAAAACCTAAAAACGTTGCGCCGTATGGAACCATTCCAATTTTGGAATCATTCTCCCAAACCCCTTTCCTCCGCTATGGTAGGTACCTATAGACAATCTAGAAGGAAATGAGGGGGATAAAAATAAAGACAAAAAGTATTAGTCTGGATGGGATTTAAACCCATGACCTTTCCAACCTCGACATCTCATCCAAGTTCGTTGCTCAGAAGCGCGTAATGATGGAGTGTGCTCCCACTACACCACCAGGCTTTGTATTTCTAGTTTGATACTGCTGCCTCGTCTCTTTCGAGTTATATGCTAGGCATCCTTGATGTCAGGCAGATGCCTAGATTGCTTACTCGAATTATGAGGTCGTACCTCCTACTCTTGTGCTGCAGTACCTATATGAATTCCTCTCATATGAAATGCATAGAAGCCTGTCATGCCTATCTTTAGCTACGAAAGCCTCTATAGATAAGGAGGAGAGACTAATGCATGCGACTATACATGCAATCCATTTAGTAGAGATAACACGTCCTCTAACTCCTTTGCCGTATCACTCTCTCCGTTCGTCCTACCCCGTAACTGCTCCGCAACCCCCCGTATAGCATTGGCTGAATGCACGTACCGCCTCCTCATGCCCGGATTCGCATTCGACAGTAATGTCGCGACGAGCTGCAATACATCCGCTTGAAAGTCGAGAAGTGGCTCGTTATCACAACTACCCTCTATAATCGGTACGTCGTACGCCGCCACGGCAGTCACCACGCCCATCCAGTCCTCAGGGGTCGTACCCTCGTTCTCTGCTACTATCTGCAAGACGAGAGTGATGCGGATACCGCGAATGATGTCCGCTTCCTGTAGGGCAGTACAAGTCGAGCTCTCTTCAAGGATCTTAAGCATATCACTCGAAAGTACTTTCCAGCCGTCGTACGAGTTGAAAGCATCAACTCCCTTCGATGTGCGGAGCACGCCTTCGAGCGCCGCAAGGACAGGGAGCCTGTAATCTAGTCCACTCGGTTGGGGTGAATTCGAACCACTACTTTGGTACAGTTCCATAAACATGTCCATCAGCCCAGCGCCCTCTTTCCTTAAAGCGTCACCATCGTCATCGCGGACCCAGAGCGCGATTGCGCGTATGGCAGAGAGTATGAAGGCATCCGTGGCTGCGCCCTCGTCTTTCGCGTCCCAGGCAAGCGTCTTATGGGAGCCGAAGTCTGTATGCGCGTTGCTGGTTCGTGCCTCCGGGTGCAATCCCTGAGCCCCTGCTACCGAGGCATCCCAGCGATCCCGTAGATACTCCATTACAACGGACAAGGTTTCGGCGATCGAGCTGCTGAGCTTAAGGACCAGATCAGGAGGCATCTTGAGCCAGGAATCTGCTGGATTTGCGCCTGGCTTGGGATTGTCCAGCTCCTCCATCCAGGAAATAAGTTGGCCGATGAAGGCTGTCAGAATGTCAAGTGCGGATGTGAGACGCTGCGAGATCCGCGGGTATTCCGGGTCGTTGAGCTTTTCTAGGAGAGAGGGCAGGGTTGCGCGTAAGTCTACTAGGATGAGATTGATGAAGAGGTACGAGAAAGGCTTTGAGGAGTCCTTCTCGTCAAGGAATAATAGCTGAGGCGTCGACTCCGGATATATAAGTAGTAAGGCGCCCGCGCAGTTTGTGTATGCGGAACGGCTGGCTGCGGTTGGTCTGTTGGTCACTAAGTTGCGTATGAGCTTGGTAACGGAGCCGAGCCATTTTGGATTTCTAGGGATGAGCTAAATGATGGTTAGAAGCTATCCACAAGGTCTACTGGCATAAGGTATCATACATTCTCGTTGAGATTCCTTAGAACATGGGATATGAATTCCAGCAGACTTGTTGCGTCGGTTCCAATGAAGGAGGACACAAAAGATTGAATTCCTTGGTCGATCTTAGTCCTCATCGCTTCCTGAGTAGCTTCATCTTCGAGGTCGGTAGGTCCCCTCTCCCAGGCCCAGATGAATATTGTGAGCACATGTGAGTGTTCTGGGGCGATTTCTATTAAAGGGGTCCAGTCATCGATATCAAGATCGGCGAAGCTTTTGGCGCCCCCAGGTACGGTAACAAGAGTTAGCAACGTCTCTATGATTACCTGGGTTGTCTCTTTGGAGCTGACCTTGTGTTAGTGTATGCGACTTGTAAGTGAGCAGTGATTTCCATTACCTGTAAAGGACGGCCTTGGCCAATCTTGGTATTCTACCAAGTAGTTTTGTGTCTTGCTTTGCGTCATCGGGCAACAGCACAGCAAACGTATGAATGACAGCGATTGCTAAGTCAAGCATGTCCTTGGAGCTCTTCTGCTCCGAGCTAGAGTGAGAACCGGTGCATAACAGCCTGTCTAGGAATTTGGGTGAAATAGAGTCCCATAATGAAACTATAACTTCTTTCTCACTCTGAAGTTCGGGGGAGTTGTCTAAGACGGACTTTAAAAGAGCCAACCCAACGAATCTGGAGGTATCATCTTTGGCCTTGAGAAGTTGCTGGATTTTCTCTATAGATGAAGTTGTAGTGTCGCTCGACCCGCCCTCTTCGCTGTTTTGTACTTGTAGCTTTGAGACATCTGGAATATCCATCTTCTCTCACTTATACGATATCAAAGCCTCAAGCCAGGGGCTTTTCTCAGGTGCTATGTTTACCTGACATTTGAGGATGAGTAGAGTAACTTGATATAGATCTCAACCCGTTGGCCTTAATCAAAGTAAGAATGTATTATGTATTGCTGATATCATTTCTTGGTTAGATGAAGTTCTTTCGAATTCTACTATGATTTAAGAGCCAATGAGAACTAGTGGTATTTTTGGGTATCTGCCAAGTCACAGTGGCTAGTCACAGTTACAGAGGGTCGGTAACTAGGTCCCTATCGGTAACAATTAAGCTCTTATCGTTATCGGCTAGGTACATGCATTAGGCATGTTAGTAGGTAGCGACAGCCAATTCGGACCCCCTACCATTGAACCTTCTGGTCGCAAAGCCGCAACGCGATCTTGCAGCCATGAAACCTAGACAATCTCCATATTTCGACTCAGTAACATAACATAGGCACCGCGTTATGGCAGATCGCATAACCGGGCCTTCGATATGGCAAGCAGCAGGAATTTCATAAATCCACACGAGGAAGAAGGCTCGTCGTCTTCCACTAGATCACCGAACGAACCGCGGCTCTCCAACAATGACGAAAGAGACGAGCTCGACTACTTGTTCGACGGGGACGATGGGGATGTACTAGGAAACGACCCCTTGAATGACGAATTAGCAGAGCCTATGAGCTTCAAGCGGAAACAAAAGCAGTCCATCTTCTCGCGGTCGAGTCGGTTACTATCCACATTAACGGGCAATCGCTTGGGATCGGCATCCCCACGATCACCGCATTCCGGTACCGAAACGCCAACGAGGCTAGAAGATCTGAATCCAGAGCGACCTGATAATACTTCCAATACGCCGAACGGTCAGAAAGAGGGGGCACCGCTTGATTGGTATGTTGAGGGGCCGGGCCGGAGAGTTGGATATGAGGATCTTACAGCCATCGATTGGATCTTCGAATACACGAAAGAACGACAACGTTTACGGGTGCTGTACTCAAGCGCGACGGGAATAGTTGGTTACATACGACAGCTTCTAGATTCCAGCCAGACATGGGTTATCCTCGTTCTGACGGGACTTGCCGTCGGTGGACTGGCAGCAGCTATAGACGTAGCCTCGGACTGGCTGGGTGATATAAAGACTGGTTATTGCACTTCAGGGCCCGAAGGAGGCGCATTCTATCTAAACAAGCAATTCTGCTGTTATGGCTACGATCAGGGCGCCAAATGCCTTGGATGGAAGCCCTGGGCCGCGGCATTAGGCATAGGGTCTACTGGTGGAAAGTGGTTTATAGAGTACTTCTTCTTTCTAATATTCTCCGTGAGTTCCTCGTCAAGCATTCCTAAGCATAAGTACCTAACTAATGCATTTATAGGTGACATTTGCCTTATGTGCTGGGTTCCTGGTTAAGGAGTACGCGATCTATGCTAAGCACAGTGGTATACCTGAGATAAAGACAGTACTGGGTGGTTTCGTTATTCGGCGCTTCTTGGGGACTTGGACACTCATCACCAAGTCTCTAGGATTAGTACGTCTCAAAATAGTATGTCAAATAAATAAGCTAACTGAGGATAGTGTCTTGCCGTCGCTTCGGGTATGTGGTTAGGCAAGGAGGGCCCTCTAGTACATGTTGCTTGTTGTTGTGCAAATCTGTTCATCAAACTATTCCCCAATATCAATACCAACGAAGGTGCGTATCACGAATAGTGATGGCTTTACAAGAGCGTGCTAACCCGAAGCAGCACGGAAACGAGAGGTGCTCTCTGCCGCTGCGGCATCGGGAATCTCTGTTGCATTCGGGTCTCCTATTGGGGGTGTGTTGTTCAGTCTCGAACAGTTGTCCTACTACTTCCCCGACAAGACTATGTGGCAGAGTTTCGTGTGCGCCATGACAGCAGCCGTCGTGCTACAGGCCTTCGATCCATTCCGGTCTGGTAAGCTTGTGTTGTACCAAGTCAAGTTCAGCACGGGTTGGCACGGCTTCGAGGTCATACCCTTTGCCATTCTCGGCATTTTAGGTGGTCTCTACGGCGGACTCTTCATCAAGGCTAATATGCGTGTGGCACAATGGAAGAAGTCAGCATCATGGCTTCCTGGCCCCCTAATACAAGTTGGCATCGTCGCTCTCCTGACGGCCCTGATTAATTACCCTAATTTCTACATGCGAGCCCAATCCTCGGAGCTCGTGTCTTCACTCTTCACTGATTGCGCATTGGTACTCGATGACCAATTCGGACTTTGTAAGACGGGCGCCGCGACGGCCGGCACTATCGTCTTATTACTATTTGCCGCCGTCCTCGGCTTCTTTCTCGCATCTATTACCTTCGGATTACAGATCCCCGCAGGTATCATTCTGCCTTCTATGGCTATCGGGGCTCTTTCGGGCCGGGCAGTCGGCATCGTCATGGAGATTTGGCAGCGCAATCACCCCGACTTCTTCGCCTTTAGTACTTGTGATCCCGGTAGACCCTGCGTGACGCCGGGCGTATACGCCATGATCGGCGCAGCTGCTACGCTCGCGGGCGTCACACGCATGACCGTCTCCATCGTTGTCATTATGTTCGAGCTTACAGGTGCGCTGACATACGTGCTCCCGATTATGGTGGCCGTGATGCTGTCTAAGTGGGTGGGCGACGCATTCTCGCGGCGCGGTATCTACGAGAGCTGGATCCACTTCAACGAGTACCCGTTCCTGGACTCGGGCGACGACGGTAGCGGCGCACAGCACGTGCCGGACATCCCGGCGTCGCAAATCATGACGCGCATTGAGGACCTAGTCGTGCTAACCGCGACGGGCCACACCATCGCCAGCTTGCGCGGAGTGCTCGAGTCGTGCGACTACCGCGGGTTCCCCGTGGTAAGTGATCCGCGCGACGCCATCCTGCTCGGCTATATTAGTCGCGCCGAGCTCGCGTACAACCTGGCAGCTAGCTCGCAGCCTCCGCGCAGCCTACCCCCCGAGACAGAGACATTCTTCTCGCACCAGCCGCTCGCGGACCCACGCACTACGCTAGACTTACGCCCCTGGATGGACCAGACGCCTCTGACGCTGCCCAGTCGTAGCACCCTCCACCTCGCCGTCGCGTACTTCCAGAAGCTGGGAGTGCGCTACGTGCTATTCAGCGACCGCGGTGTCCTGCAGGGCCTGCTCACCAAGAAGGACTGCTGGTATGTGCTCAACGGCGCCGAGGAGGGGCGGAGCACCGGGAGGGCTGGGCAGGTAGGGCGCGGAAGCGGGGATGATGATGACGGGGTGCCTGGCGCGGCGGGGGAACGGGGTGGTTTATTGGGACCTGATGATGGCTTGCTGGATTCGCCTGCGGATGATGCTAGAAGTGGGATCTTATAGACTTGTTACTAAGCTTGGTGTTATGTTTGCCTTAGGTACCTACCTAGGTATAGGACGGTACGGGAAGGCGCGTGATATAATAGGCGGGTTAATATTATGGAATATCTTGATTCTACTAGAAGTTTCCTTACAAGGGCGTGTTGATATGTATGTATGTATGTATGTACATACATGATGAAATATAATATCAGCATCCCGCACGCTCTCCTAAACTCACACCCGCTGCGCTCGCCGGTCACACGGGCCAATCAGACGGAGGAGAAAGCACTTGGATGAGTACAGAGACGGCACGATTTGGTGGCCACGCTTACGGGATGCTTGCTTGTTTGTTGTTTTCTTCCCTTTCCCGAAGAAAAAGAAAAAGCAAAAGAAGCAAAATGAGGCTCCAGAGTTATTTTAGCGGTGTGACAGGTATAGGTAGGTAGGCATAGTAGAATGATATAAGCTGCTTCGTTTTATAGGGCCGTTATATAGATACATACCGTAAGAGAAGCGAGATAAAACCTCGGCTTGTGATAGGCCGCCTTGTAGCGAGGTACGGAAATGCGAGGGAGTACGCGGGTATAGGTTGTTAATATAATATATATGTATGTATGTATGTGTTGGAAGGGCTTACGTGCTGGGTAACTTGTATGCCGATGTGTCAGGTACGTGGAGGGAGTGTGGTTATTGGAAGTATTCACGGGATTATAGAGCAATAGGTATTATCATGATTCAAGCGTGAACTTGGGGCATATGCTTTCTATTATATGTACCTCCCCCTTAATACTTGCACGTAGATATGTCGTAATAATAATAATAATCCATTCGCATTAATTAGAGCCGGGCCATGCTAGAAAAAAAAAACATCGGTCTCTTATGGATCTTATGTGGTATGGTTGCTTGCTCTCTATCGTAACATTATTGCTATTCCCGTTGCCAGGATCTCAGCCAGATGCAAAAGAAAACAAGCCACATCCCAGCCCGGTCTGAGACGAGAAAATGATGGGGTATCATGCCGTGGATGTATGAATCCCAACTCCCCTTCCATGCAGAAATTCACGCCTGCCTTGCACCCGCCGCGTACCTGTCCATATGTGCCCATATCCGTTCCCGCTTGGGCCGGCAAAAAAACAAAAAAAGAAACCCCTCCTCTTAGAAAGCTGCTCAATAATATAATAGAACACCTCTATTAAAACCATGCGCGAGGCTGAAATCTCACGATATGCTGCCGATCCATGGAAGATACCCTGCCTAGCCCTGATTCGTCGCACTTCTTGTCTGAGCTGCGTCTGCACCACGTCAGTCGGACGGTGAAGTAACATCTCCCTATCATGTGCTCAACTACGTCATGAAGAAACAGCTGGCCGCTTTCCTTTCTTGTTGGCTGTCATGATCTTCAGTTCGAGATGGTAGTAGGACTTTTGGTTTTTGCCCTTCTTTTCCTTCGGGTCGACTTTCGTTCGGCAGACGGGGCAGGTCTTCTTCATATTATCGATATGAAGTGCCGAATGCAGACATTCGGAGCAGAATAGGTGACCTAATAATATGCAAGTTAGTAACAAAATTTGCAGTAGTAATTAAGTACAGGGTCCAGTTCCGACATACCGCAGTGTGTGACAGTCAAGTAAGAGGTGTCATCCATGCAAATTACACACTGAAATTTGCCAATCTTGATGCGGTTGTCAACCTTGGGAGCCATAAGCTCCGGTGGGACTTCAGCGGCATTAGATAGATCAATAGTTTCATGACCATCGTCGTTGGCGGGCCCACTGCAACCATCATCGACAAACGGATTTTGGTCATTTGGCTTCCATTTTAATCTGGTTGATCGGCTGGAGTTCTGGAGAGAAGATTGAGATGTTCGCCGTCTCTTGGAAGCCGAATCACTATTTGCGCCGACGGCGGCTCGCTTTCTGGGAGGCATGGCAGGCGTTGTAGGGTCGACTCCCGAGATAGAATCGAAATCCGGCTCCTCCTTAGTCAGGTCGACAAGGTGTCCTTTGTTACTTCTTGAGCAACGAGGACCAGTTGTTGGCATTGCTTCTCCGACCTCAAGAGGTTTAGGTAGGTGGGGAATATGTGATCGAGTAGGCGGGAGAGGGCTGCTGTTGATGGGAGGAAGTGACGGCGATGAAAAATCGCCGTCAGCTAAGGCAGCAAGGTAGTAGTCGTCACCGTTCGGGTGAGGAAGTTGTGTGTGAGGGTTGTAAGTGTTAGATGTTGACGACCTCTGTCCCTGGGCTCGTGGTGGGGCGACACCGGGGTGGGTTTCGGGGTGGAAATTAAATGATGAGCGAGGCAACCGCCGTAGACTCGAATCGAATCCGGGAAATGCAAATTCTGGCCTAGTAGACCCCCAACTAGGCCTTCCTTGACCGTGATTGTAATGGTTGGTGGGCGACGACGTGTTGTGGTCGTGAGGTGGATAACGAGGTACGTAAGAATCGACCTGCTGGAAGGAATCGAAAACGCCGGAGAATTGGCGCTCGTTCAGTAGGGAGGGTATAGAGGGTAACTGGTAACTCGAGTAGTCCTGCTGATTCGGGTTGAAAGGGGTTGAATTCGCTGGAGTAGGTGGTTGTCCGAAAGGAACTGGGCGATTAAAGATACTGTAGTCGGAGAAGTCGACGGCGCTGGCAAATGCGGTTTGCGCGGGATCTAGATCGGGTTGTGATACTACTGGGTCGCACGTAGCCAGGTTTTAGCCTCCTTTTTCTTGACAGTGCGAGATCTGATTACCTTGGATTATGTGAAGTTCAGTTTGAGGGGGGTGAATTACTTGCAGGTATGAGGTTTAAGAGTACAATATGTGAGAAGTTTAAAAGAGACTGTTTTGAGAAAAAATGCTAATAAAGTGGGAGAATACCTCTGTATGCCATTATTTCCTTTTTCTTTTTTTTTCTTTTTTTTCGCGGCTGAGGAATGTAGAATGGAAAATGCGAAGTGACTAAAAAAAGGGTTGGACGGTTGATTTCCGCCTCTGAGGATTGAGGAGCCGCAGCAACAATAATAGCAAACTTGAGCTTAAGTGCCTTTTTTTTTTTCGCGTGATTGTCCTCTGGTACAGCTGGTGGCGATTTGTTATCGGCGATAAAGACAGTCGTTCTTGCGCCAAAGTATGTAGGTACGGCTGGTACGGCTGGTACGGGTATTCCAGGTATTCCAGGTATTCACGGACCTGGTGGTAGCCGCTTCCCAGGATGCGCAATTGCCAGGCTGCCAGGCTGCCAGGTGATTACAATAACAGCAAATTACCTAGGAGGCAGTTATCTCGGTAAATTGGTAGAAGACAAATCCCAAATGCTTCTTTCCTCGACTAAGTTATTCCTACACCTCGCTGCTCGAACATGCTATTCGATTCGTTGATGGATGCGAATGGAGTCGCCGGCTAGGAGAGTCGTGATTTGATTTTTCTTCCGACTTTTCTCTTTCTTTCTTTTTCTTCGCTCAGTTTGGAGTTTGGCAAAAAGAAGAAGAAAATATGTAAGCATTCGTCGGAAACTCGGTACGAAGATGAGGTGAGGTTTTTGCTTTGCACAGGTGGCTACATGACTACCTATGTAAGCTACCTATTTAACTGATTCCTGGCCGGGTACGATCATGCATCCACAACTGCATACATATACTCCGTGTGGTGGTAACAAGTCGGACTATCAATTGGAGCCACCTGGGACACCGTCCGCTCCTCCCCCAAACGAATCTAACAGGCAGACAGGTAGCCATACAATGCATACCTAAGGTAATAATGTTCTACACTTGTAAAGTTCAAGCAACATTACTAATGTAAATGTAAGGTAGTCGAGACGGAGAGAACGGCATGCACTGTTTAAGATACGTACCTAGGTACCTAATATATGTAATCCGTACATCCATGCCCCTAAACCCGTGCGCTTATACGTTTGCACAAGAGATCCAATACAGCTCAGGTACGGTTGAATCCTACCAATCTGCACATGAAGCTACCCCTGTCGTGCCTTTTCTGTCTCCCACTTACATATCAGGTATTTACGACATCAGTTTTTTTTTATCTTCTCTCCTTTTGACAATAAACTACAAACTACCGCATAGAAGAAGAACATTAATACTAGGCTAACTCTGTAGTAGGTAGTTTTCGTATTATCTACGTAACTACCAGTGGAGTTCGTGTTGAGAGTTTGGTTGGCGGCGTTTCAACATTTCGGAAAAAGGATTACACTCTCTCGTTGCCTTCATTGGTATTTTCGACGTTACCTTTTAGGGATCTCTGTACGAGGATCAATATATGACGAGCATAGTTGGTACTATACAAACGCCTCCTCGTAGGGATGTGTCTAAATCTGCCATGAGACATGGTACGGCATAGCTTACTGCATCTAGACCGACCCTCGCTTGTCATAAGCTTATTTGAGTTTTGCAGCACATTACGAATTGTCTATGCACGGAGGCATTGCTGGCCACAGTGGTTAGATATGTGATATATATCTACATCTGCGCGTTGATCACACTACACCCGTTCTCGACATCCGTACTTCAAGAGCCAATGGCAAATAGCACGGCTTCCCGAGACAGCGGACAGCAGACATCGCTTTTACTATGCTCGGGCGGAGGAAGGCCCGCATCGAGGTACGAAGTAGATGTAAGTGAATACTTTTTAATTGTGCAATAGTAGAAAACCTCGTGATCATTCAGATGAATGCCCCCATCGTCTTAGTTACCGAGTAGGTAGATGCACGCTGGGCTATTCTACTAACTCTTCCGCCCCGTCCCGTATGTGCCACTTCCGTCGCTTGAAATGCGAACAGCATCCATTAGCGGTTGGAAGACAAACTATTCATACCAATAGGATTTATTTTCGGTTACCGAGAATCGCCAAGATGTCCCTCGCCCCATTGAATTACTAATGAAATGTAGGTAATTTAATGAGTAGATGCCGCCAGGTCAGTCGGAGCATATTTCAGGAAGTAACATCCCCATCTTATCAACCGATTCCTAGAGTAATGGTGGCGCTTCTTATTAACCCCGGGTCGTCCTCTTCTGGCGGTTCGAAAATTTCCAAGCAAAGATCGAGCACAGGATAAGGCCAACTACGCCCAGCCCAATGGCCACGCTGTTATTCGATGAGAATTAGTAGTTGCTTGAAGTATAGGGGTTCAAACTATATCCCAAAAACAGTAGTTTCGAATCAGACTGCCCAAGAAGTCTCAATCTCTCAAAACCGAAAGGGGAAGAACGAAATGACTCCGAGTTACTCACTACCAAGCTCCCCTATATCCCTTCAAAATGTCCTCAGCGGTCACTCCGCCATTATTCACGTGGAGCTCAACGGTTCCAGCAACGCCCAACGCAAGCGCACCACTATAGTTCACCACTGTGGTAACTAAGCTGGCTGCAATGCCTTGATGCTCGCTAGATACCAAATCCGAAAGCATAAGTGTCGCCGCTGGAAAGCTCAAATCCATTCCCCAGGTGATAATCACATTGCAGAGGAAAGTTTGTGTCCAATACGTCTGGTTAATAGGGGTTGTTGCGATGAGGGTAGTGCCGATGGTAAAGGCTAATAGTGCGAGGGCCATCACAACCGCTGGTCCTACACGGTGAATGATCATACCCGTAGTAATAGCTGCTGCAATACCACTGACCAAAATCGGACTATGCATTGCCGTGGCCAGGAGAGGCGGCGCGCCTCGCAACACCTCATAAAACCCCCAAATATAATAAATATAAATTCCAAAGCAGCCCCAACCACAAAAGACGGCGCCAAGGACGAAAAATACCCCCGAGTTGACAGCCTCGAGTGGTATCAAAGGTTTACTGGCGTACTTCTCAACAAAGATAAAACTCACGCATAGCAGGGCTCCTGCTATCAGAAGCCCGGGAACACATGGGTTCTGCCAGCCCTTGACGGATGCTTGGTTCCAAGAAACACTGATGAGAATAAGACCACTAACGCCTGTTAGAGCACCGGGGACATCCAGCTCGGCACATAATGCTTTTAACCCCCCCGGCGACACTCTGCTCCTTTCCGGGGACAACTCACTTGGTATCACGAGTGCACCGGCGAGAGTAGTGAATATTAATAGAAGGGATAAGCCAAAAAATGCATACGGCCACCACGCCAGTGCCAGCAGGCTTGTAAATGCCGGCGAGATGATAGCAGAAGCTGGGGCCATGGCCCCAAAGATGGCGAACAACATAGCCTTTCGTTGCCCAGGTACATAGGTGACGCCCAATAGCGCTACGGCGTTTGGGACTATTAGTGCTGGGCCGAGACCTTGCATGATACGCGCAAAAAGGAAAGCAGCGTAAGGTCGAGGCGCGTAGATAGATAAGCCGGCGACAAGCGAGAACAGCGCAAACCACGTATTGCCGACGAGGAAGATGAGCTTGTGGCCATAGACGTCCCCAAGGCGGCCTGCCAGGAGAATGAACGTCCCCGTTAAGCCATATCCAGCAATAAGCCACACAAGTTGTCCTGGGCTCGTGGCGCCCAGATCAGAACCTATAAGGCGAAGGATGCAGAGAGCTTGATGAAATCCGGAATCTATTTAGTTTTAGTCAGATGGCTCACGAATAACTTAGAGTAGAACGCGATTCCGAGGACCGACTCACGAGGTGTAAAATTGGCCGTTGACACAACGACGAAGAAGGCCAGCTCGTGAATAACCGACATAGGTTTGCCAAGGAAGATATGTGCCCTCGGATGCCCTTTGCTCCCCTTCTTCTCTAGGTCGCTGTCAAGGCTTGACTGGTTTTGGCAATCATCCTTTCCCAGACCGGGTGATAAACTTTTGCCATCTACGTCGTGGATCGGTGATGCTGGTGCACTGTCCCTCCGGACTGTGTCTTCGAAATTGTCCCTCCTGTTGTATCCTAAGGATGCGTGCTCGTCCGTATGACACCCTGGAGCTTCCGGTAACACATTCGAATCCATGAGGCCTTTCTACCCTAGATAGCGGCGGTGGCTGATTGTGATAATAGGACTCGCCGTCTGATTATCGGATACTAGGCTAGCAAGGACGAGTCCAAAGGTTCATACTTATATACACACAATCCATGGAAGACCTATACCCGGTCCTGAATATACGTCCCTATGTTTAGACACTGATGAGGGCTATCAAGTCGATTCGTATGATGAGGTCTTGTCGGACTCCGCCCACGCATTAAGTCTTGACAGACGGTCTCGGAAAGAGCTGAGACTTATGTGAAAGCGTAGTCAAGAGATCTCTGTAGCACGCGACTATCTAGCTCCCTCAACTGCCGATACTACGCAATATTCCCTTTTTTGCCTCTTGCTCCTCTGTGCTAGGCCATACGGCGGGAACGATGTACACTTCTCCCTCTCTCCCCTTTCCTCTCTCGAGTTTACTCCACCACTTGGTGCAACCATCTCGTGCTAGTATCACGAGCTGGGCGAGTACCTGGCATACAGGGGATCCTCTGCACAGGAGCTACCTTATCCGCCTTTCTGGATTCGCGCTCGTCTTAGAAATCTAAGCACCTGGTAATATCGCAAGTTTTTAAATGACATTCTCTACGCCTTTCTTGGCAAGAAGGCAGAGCGAGCGAAACGTTGTCTCCCATGGTGCTACGTATGTGCGCGCACGTACCGTACCTCTTCCCATGCGGATGAAACTATATGAGGGGAGAGGAAGGGGAGATTCAAGAATAGACACTCGGGGAACGAAGTTTGCTAACGCATTTCGCTTCCCCCTTTCCCGTAAGATAAAGTTTCGGGAACGGAAGGCATGTAATCAGCGATGTCTCGAGCCAAGACCCGAACATCACGGTCACCTTCGGCCAGCGAGGAAATTGGTCCGAGACCTTTCGGCAAAGCGTTCGCAGACAAACTACCTAACCTAGGTACCTAGCCCATGTGTCTGTGGCGCATAGATCTAGTACGCGAGCTCGTGGAATTTGTCTTAATTATGATGCGTGGCCGTACGTTGTATATCGTTGCTGCGGGCGGTACCAGGGGTGATTCACCTTGCTTCAGCGAGGCCATGGTCTAGGGCATGGTGTCTGTCTGATATTATCGTGATTTCGGCATGCGAGACTGGATTCGTAATCTGCTACGGGTCAATGTCTCTAGCTACCGGCTACCAGCTACCGAACTGTTGGAAGTCTGTCCTTCCACTACCGAGTTGGTTTACCGCAGCACGCGCCTGTCCATATGTCTCAGTGCGAGACGTTTAATTAGTCTATATCGTAGTATTATAAGAGAGGCCTACCGTACTAGAAGTAAAGCTCGAGACCAAAGACT